AAGGAGCTGGAGACGGGAGGAAGCGCCGGCGCGCTGCCAAGGTAATGCACACACGCGAAAACGGATGCTGAGGTGTGCGGGGCCGGCTGAGCACGCTGCCTGGAGCCCAGTGCAGCCAAGGGGAGGGACAGAGCCACCTGGAAACCCCCCTGAAGTCCCAACCAAATGGATACCAGGGAGCAGGATTGGGCTAGGGAGATGCCTGTGTGGACAGCACACGTGCTCACCCAGAAATAAAGGGGGGGAGGGGGAGGGAAATAAGCCCCTGCACGCACACCCCTGTGTGTGCATGAGGACCATGGTGGGATGGTTCCCAGTTGGAATCTCGGGGTGCATTGAGCCTTTAGCTGCTCTGCGGTCACCCTCTCCCCCTTCCCTGGAGAGGCAGCATCACACGGGAGCTGCCCCGGCCCCTCTCCCGGGGCGATCTTGGGAGGTCTGGGGGGAGGAGAGAGACGCTCAGAGGGGCCGTAGCTGGCTCTCGCGTACGCCCAGGGAGCCCGAGGTGATGCTGGGTCGAGGCTCGTGCATGCGCACACGGAGGAGAGGTCACCAACAACGTTCCGTGTCATGCTGCTGGGGACCCGGGGGTCCCAAGGGTGCTCCGCAGGGGAGAGCAGCACCCTGCGGCTCCATCCCATGTGGCCCCATCTGTGTGTCCTGGGGTACCAGCGGCTCTCCTAAAGGCAGGCAGCAATCATCCCAAGAGGTGACCTGGATGGGGACAGTCCGGAGGGGCTGCCAGCGCCCCTGAGGCTCTGCGAAACCCGGAGGGAGGGAAGGAGAGGAAACGCTGGCGAAGCCCGGGCTGGCTTAGTCTCGGAAGAGGGATGATGCGAAATGCCGTGGCCCCCTCAGGACGGCTGCATCCCAGGGCATCTCCCGACAGGTTTGCCGTCAGGGATTACTGCTGGAGGCTCTGGAGCAGGGAGTTCAGGGAGGGGGCTGGCTGAAGATCGCTGATCTAATCCGGGCGCTCTCAGCCCCGGCTGTAAGGCATAACGAGATTTATTGGTGCACCGAAAAACCCATTAAGTCATTTGATTCTTAATTTTGGCAGCGTGGTGGCAGGGTTTCCCGGGGTGGGGATGCAGGGAGGGTCCCTGCGGGCTTGCTCTTTGCCCCCTGCCATTTCAGTGGGGCCGGCGACCGCCAGCATGGCGTTCACACGGGAACATCTTCCCTCACCTCCTCCTAACCCCCCCGAAGGCACTGCTCGTCCTTCCCTTGTGTGCAGCAGCCTGGCTGGGCTTTTTCCTCCCGGTTTTGAGGGCCCTCCCCGCCCTCCACGCGTGCTCACATCTGTGTGCCCGGGCATATCTTGGCACGCAGAGCCGGGTGGCCCAGGTGCATCTTTTCCACGCTTTTAATTACTGCTGCAAATGGAAACAGAGCCGGGAGGGAATCGTCCTGGCTGCCTGGGCTGTGCCGGGGTGCAGATTCCCTCCTTGTCCCCACCATCCTTTGGAGGGGAGTGGAACGGGAGAGTGGATGGGCTGGACCT